TGTGTGTGTGTGTGTGTGTGTGTGTGTGTGTGTGTGTGTGTGTGTGTATTTGTGCATATGTGTGTGTAGATGCAGACACTCCTGAGTGCATGAGAGTCCAGAGAAAATATCCTGCTGTCACTCTCTGAGACAAGCTCTCGCACTGAACCTAGAGCTAGGCTGGCAGCCAACAAGCCCCAGGCATTCTGCTTCTATTCCCACAGTGCTGAGCTTTCAGGCTGGCCTGTGGCAATGTCCAGATTTGTAGTGGGTGTTGGGCACTTGAACCTAGGGCCTCACTCTTACCCACTGAGCCTGCTCCTCAGCCTTGACCTTCAACTTCTGAGCCTCAAGCATGCTAGGCAAGTGCTCTACCTACTTAGCTACCTAAGGCAGCACCTATTTGGGGTTTTATTGTTGTTTGCTTTTGAGTCAAGTCTTACTATGTTACTGGCTGGCCTCAAGCTCACTGTGTAGCCAGGCCACCTTGATCTAATGATCCTCTGTAATCAGGGGGTGATGAGAATAGGTTTTTGAGTGCCAGGAGATGTTCCCCTGCCACTTTCCTTCCTCAGTTCTGGGGCAGACTGTTGCCTGGTGGGAACCCAATAAATCCTAGGTGACAAGTATGTCTGGGGGTGAGGAGGGGTGCTCCTCTGAGAAGGCTGGGGAGACGGTGGCAGTGCAGGGTGGCTGTGTGGGGCCGGCTCACTCGCTTAAAGCCTGTCCTGTACCACACTGAGGCTTTATGAACATCTGAACAGCGCTTTTCGTGGATTCTATCCCTCAACTTGGGACACTCATTGAGGACCTGTTGTCACTTGTTCTCAAAGGAAGCCTGTTCGAATCTGTTGGCTTGTGTTACTTATGATGGGTTGTTCCGTCTGCACGGCCTTGGTGAGACCCTTGGGCAACTCGAGGCACGCCCCTGACACTCCTCTTACTGGCTTTCTCCCTCTGCTCTCTTCCCCCAGTTTCTCAGCTACCTCAGTGCCTGTGAAAGGCTGCTGCGGCAGGGCTACGATGAGGCTCTGGTGGACGAGGCCATGGAAATGTTCCAGTTCTCCGAGCATCAGGTCATCTGGGCCTATGGCTTGGGAGCCAGGGAGGGCGGGGCATGTGGTGCAGGGGTGCAGTGGCCCCCGAGCAGCGTGCAGACTGCTCAGGAGAGAACTGGCCTGCCCACACTGGGGAGAAAGTACCGACGGGGAGAAGAGCGCAGTCAGGGGTGGGAGACAGGGAATGAAGAGGTGGAGGGGGAACGGAGGCTGGTGGAGCCGGGGCTTTGCTGTGGGTAACCCAGTCAACACAACGCGTGCTACTGGGTGCCGATATTTGAGACTCCCTACAGGAGCAGCCTGGAGATGCATGAACTCGGTGGGGGGGGGGGGTGCTGCGCTCATAGCATTCAGGAAGCTTCAGGCCCTACAGAGAGTCACAAGTGCCCATGACAGCTCATGCTACAGTAACGGGGCAGCAATTCACAACGCTGAGAGATGTACGAAATGGAAAGGAAGATGCAGGGCAGTCTTCAGCAGAGGCTGAGCCGGGCAAAGCCAGCATTGCCAGCTCACAGGCAGCACCCCTGGCTGGGGCTGTGTGTCCTCCCGGAGCTGCCAATCACAGGGAGTCCCAACTGAGCCAGATGACGGTACCTCAGCAAGGCTGAGGCCTTCTCTCCCCCATCCCCAGAGGAAGGAGAAGATGACAGGCACTGCCCAGGGTCAGGCTTCCCTGGGGAGGGGACCACAGTCTTCTGGGATGGGCACCAGGAAGGGGGATACCCGGGACCGAAAGCTTGCAGTGATGGAGCACCCTGTCTGCCTCCTCTTCAGGCAGGCGAGTTCCTGCGCCTCTGGCAGCAGTTCAGTGACATGGGCTTCCAGCAAGACCGGATCAAGGAGGTGCTGCTGGTCCACGGCAATCAGCGTGAACAAGCCCTGGAGGAGCTGGTAGCCTGTGCCCAGTGATGAGCCAGGACACTCCGTGATGCCTGGCTGGCCAGTGAAGTACATGCCTGCCACCCATCCTAGCTGAGTGGTGGTGGCACACGCCTTTAGTCCCAGCACTAGGGAGGCAGAGGCAGACAAATCTCTGAGTTCAAGGTCATCCGGGCCTACAGAATTCCAGGACAGCCAGGGGCTACAGAGAAAAATCTTGTCTTGAAAAGCCAAAAGTAATAACCATAATGAAATAAATAAAACCTGATGTAGTGCTTGTTTTTAAACTCTGTTTTATTTGGGCTTCCTTAAAGTTGTTCCCTTCCAACCTCGAAACCCTAAGAAGGAGAGAGGTTAGTGGGGAGAGGGGCCTCAGACCCACTTACTTTTCCTGGCTGTTTAGGATCAGTGGGTTCTTTTAGGGCTATACCAAGCTCCATCAACAGCAAATGCAGACAGCTGTCTCCTCCAAGCCGCTGCCCCCGAAGCATTTCTCTCTGTCTGTCTGCTCCAAGCTGCCACACCATCTGTCTCTAGTCTCTTCAAACTAGTCCATGCCACGTGCCAACACTGCATGCCAGCCTTTTGTCTTTCTGGGCACTCATATTTATATCCTTAGAGCCCTAGGCCTTGCCCCTCTCCATGCCACACGAGGCAAGCTGTTACCAGCTGTCAAAGGCCACCTCCCACATTATCAGCTGCGGACAAACTAAAGCCCAACTAAAATCTCATGCTCCGGATTAAAACAAAAGCATATTTATGTAACATAACTGAGTTTTTAAAGGAACCAAAACTTCCATTACAGCCTAATAAGACTAAAGCCAGGTGTGGTGATGCATGCCTTTAATCCCAGCACTCAGGAGGCAGAAACAGGCAGATTGTTGAGTTGGAGGCCAGCCTGGTCTGCAGAATTCCAGGACATCCAGGGCTGCCCAGAGAAAAACAACACAACTAATAAACGAACAAAGCACACTCTTCTCATCCTAAGGCACAGACAATGCCAAGGGTAGGAGTGGAAACCAAACAGCCGCCTGCTAAATTCTAGAAGCACCAGGTGAAGACTGTGGTGAGGAAATGTTCTCAGACAAACCTTGGAAAACTATTTGCATTTGACTCTAAACTGTGTGCATTGATGGCTTTGATTTGGAGACAAATACGTGATGGGAACTATCTTGAATCCTGCATGTTTGGGACTTTGGTGTGGAAAACCCTTCATATATATCAGGCACCCTGAGTTCTTTTTTTAAAATTAATTTATTTTTACTCATATGTATGTGTGTGTATATATGCATACATGTAGGTGCCCACAGAAGCTAGAAAAGGGCATCAGATCCTCTGGGGCTACAGGTGGTTGTGAGCTACCTGATGTGGGTTCTGGGAGCGAAACTCCAGTCCTTTACAGGAGCAACAGATGCTCTTAAGCTCTTGACTGTTGAAGCATTTACCTGGCTGTTCACTGAGTTCTTACTGTTGGTGTCTGACTCAAGAACTCTCTCAGCTTCAGCTTCCTAAGAAAAAGTAATTAAATCCAACCAGAACTGCTATGGTGGTGCACGATTTAATCCCAGCACTTGGGAGGCAGAGGCAAGCAGATCTCTGTGGGTTTGAGGCCAGCCTGGTCTACAGAGCAAGTTCCAGGACAGCCAGAGCTACATGGCAAAACCCTATCTCAAAACAAAATGAAACAGATTTCACCAGGTCTACATTTTCCAGACCTGGTTCTTCTTCCATGAGAATTTTAGGGAGTCCCTGGGCCCAGCCCCTTATAGTCTGATTCAGAAAGCCCAGGTGGGCAGCATCCAGAAATTTGGGGTTTGGTTGGTTGGTTGGAATTGTGTTGTTTTGTTTTTGCTCAAGGTCTCTATGCTGCCTGGTTGGTCTCACCTTGGGAACTCACGTGGTCCTCCTGGGACTTCAGTCTCCCAGGAAGCCATCCAGCTTGTTTTGTTTTCTGTTGGAGGCTCTCTGAAACATCTTTGCAATACACTGGGCCCATGACCCATGTGCATGACCCTCCAGAGCAGCCAATCTGTGCCTTTCTGCTCTGATAATCTGGGTTTGAACCCAGCCTGTGACTTTCAGGAGTTGCAAAGGTTGGGACAACAGCTGTCTCTAGTCACCCCAAGCCTGCATTTAAGAGGCCTTCAGGGACTGAGAGGACCAATTGCCGGAGTGGCCAGAGACCCAGGCAAGCAGAGATCAGAGGCCAAAGGGCTAGTGCCCCTGTCTCTGCCAGCAGTCCACCCCTGGCCCTCTGATAGTTACCGGGATTCAGACCTTTTATTCTCTTTGTTCTGTAAACAGAGCTGGAGCCGGGGCCTGTGGAAACCCAAGAGAAGCCATGTCTCAGGGCTTCGCTCTCCTGCTCAGCTGTGTACTGGGGACTTCTGCAGGCTGGAAAAGCTAGTTTAGGACTGTTCCTCAGGCCTGCTGAGGCCCACCTAGCCCTCTGTGCTTTCCACTAAGTTTCAGTGCCAGCCAGCTTGAAATCACATTGAAAATAGTCCCTGGCCTTCTGACTTGCTTTCAATAAGTTGGAGGCAATACACAGAGAAGTAGTTGGGAATGTCAGCTAGAGAGCATGAAGCTGGTCATGAGTCTATTGCCAAAAATCAAATGGACTTGGAAAAGACAGTAAAATTAAAGTCCAAATGCTGAGATGCCATGATGGACATAAGGCTTTTTTTAAAGATTTATTTATTATTTATACAACATTCTGTCTGCACACCAGATCTTAATATAGATGGTTCTGAGCCACCATGTGGTTGCTGGGAATTGAACTCAGGACCTTTGGAAGAACAGCAAGTGTTAACCTCTGAGCCATCTCTCCAGCCTGGAAGGCTTTTCTTGTTCCAGGTAAATTAATCTGGCTCAGAATGCCACTTTTATTAGTCCCATGAATGGGAAGCGACCAGCTGGCAGGCCTGCAAGCCTCTCACCACTCCCATTTGGCACAAACCCTTCTGTTTTCATTCCTGGGAAACTAGTGCTTGATTACAAATGAGACAACAATAGAAAAACTGTTCATTTACAGTAAATATTTTTTAGTTTTTAAATTTTATTCATTTATATAATGACTTTATAAGTTTAATTAGGGTTGTTTACCAGAGCATGGGCAATTTACCAGTAGCTATAGTACTGAAAAAAAAGTCTCCTTGGCTCATAGCCATTAACTGCCTACGGGACCTATAGTAGAGAGCTCAGGGAGGGACCTCATAAGCCATGCTCCCTTAACTACCTTTTTATTTAGGAGGTGGAAAAATAAGGTTTGAAGCATAAACTCTGAAATCAGGTGGGGTTACAAGTTCACCTTATTGCTAACTGGCTATGTGTGTGTATTTGAAAGTTGCTTATCTGTCCCTCAGTTTTTCATTCATAAAATAGATACTGAAACCTTTCGCTGATGCTGACTGAGAGGAATGGTGCATAGGTTGCTTCTGGCACTGTATCTACCAGCCCATTCACATATATGCTCTCCCTTTCCTTCTTCTGTAGACACCACCCTTCTCTGTTCATTCTCCCTGTCACCTAATCAACACCAGCTGTTACGGTTTGCTTAGGTGTTCCCTAAAGATTCACGTGGTAGAGACTTAAGTCTTCAGCTGATGGTGCTGCTGGGGACTGGTAGGACCTTCAGGAAGTGAGGCCTGCTGGAAGGAAGTTACACCATGTCCCTGGAGAGGACCCTGCCCTTCCTCTCTTCTCTGCTTCCTGGCTACCATATGTGAGCAGCTTTGCTCCCTCAGAGACTCCCACCGAAATGCCCAGCCTCACCACAGGCCCCCAAACAACAGAACTGAGCGGCTGTCAGCTGGAACCTCTCACTGTGAGTCAGAAATGAGGTTTTTTCATTCACTTCCCCAGCTATAGAAAGCTGACACAGCATCATTCTGTAACCAAACTCAGTACACCTGAGCAATCCTCTCCCTCGGGGACCAGGTCTCTCTGATCAGCAGAGTTGAAGAAAGTAGCCAGAATGAAGGATTACGGAAGGACCACCTGGGGGAACGATGGACTCTATGACTAATACTCAGGTCAGGTGGCTCTTGAGCTAACCGCATGTGACACACACAGGCTACCTGAAGCCAGACTCTGGATAAGATGACCCCTACAGGGGAGGCCACAGGCAAGCCCCAGCCAAAGCCAAGCCTGGCTTCTTGTCATCCCACTGTCCTCTTAGGAGTTATCTCCCATTCTGGCCCCAAGTCCCCTAAGAGACACATGCTATCGGGTGAAGATGGAAGGCCCGGATCTGACAGGATGGTTGTCTTAGAAGCCACTTCAGGCTGAGTTCTGAAGCTTATTGTGTCCCCAGGGAACTGTACAAAATGTCCTCTGTCTAGCTCACCCTTGGCCACTTCCTCTGAAGAACCCTGATGATTACCCTGGACCCACGAGACTAAGCCAGGATCATCTGCCTTCTCAAGGTTCCCAGTCTAATCTATCTGCAAAGTCCTTCCTACATGGAAATGACAGGTTCATGGGTTCTAGGAATTATGACAGAACCCCTTGGGGGATCATTATATAGCCTGCCTCATGGGGGCAGTGCTCTCTCCACATAATATGTGATGAATGGTAACAAGCTGCGCGTGTATATATATCCTACATGCTACTTCCCTATTTTTTTTATTTCTTTTTATATTAATTATAGTTTATTCACTTTGAATCCCAGCTGTATTCTCCTCCCTCCCTATCTCACCCTCTCTCCCTCATCTCCTCCCTGCCCCTCTTCAAGTCCACTGATAGGGGAGGTCCTCCTCCCCTTCCATCTGATCCTAGTCTATCAGGTCTCATCAGGAGTGGCTGCATTGTGTTCCTCTGTGGCCTGGCAAGGCTGCTCCCCCCTCAGGGGGATGTGATCAAAGAGCCAGCCACTGAGTTCATGTCAGAGACAGTCCCTGTTCCTCTTACTAGGGAACCCACTTGGACACTGAGCTGCAGACTGGGCTACATCTGAGCAGGGGTTCTAGATTAGCCACATCCCTACTTTAGAACAGAGTGAGAGCAAGGCAAGTTCTCTAGTTCTGCTGGCTGATATGCAGGTACGGCAGGCCCTCCAGAGGCCAGTGCCTAAGCAAGACTGCACAGCTCCCCCTCTGTGGGAGCCTTGCTGCTCATTCTTCAGTGTGAGCATCAGCCTCCTGCAGCTGTCAAGCTTCTCCTGCCATGGGAGGAGTGCTGGCCAGGGTGCTACCATAGCCTCCTCAGCCTTGACCTTCCCATGCCCGGGACAGTGAAAAGCCATGCCCCTAGATCTCAGTGGGACAACCCAG